TGTGTGGCAGATTCATATTGTGCATTCTTTTGCCAATTAATTTCTGGAAGCTATCTGCTTAGAATGGGTCTCGGAGAATCCTATTCTTCCCTAGTCAGGAAAGTCTGAATCACGTAGGGTGCTAATATGTTCATTGAGAATTCGGGGGCTGTCCTGGCCAAGTGGATGTTCAACTTTCCTGCATTTAAATACCATCCACCAATACAAATGGAATAAGCTGCTGTCATATATTGTCGATTAATTCCAAAATTCAGTGAATGATAATCAGAAGTTAGTTGTCAACTGAGTACTATTCAAATCCAGGAATGAGGTGAGTGAGCCTGGCAGGGAAAACCTCACCAGGCAACTCAGTGTTTCAGAATGCCAACGTCCTTGCTGCAGGACAGAGTGCTTAGCTCAATACAGTTGTGATAACAACTTCCTTGTGCGTCCAAGGTGAAGCAATGTCATGCTTTGTGTAAATAGAGTCCAAATCACTGGCAAACACAATGAACTTGAAATTCAACTGATAAGCATTCATTAAAACCATGCCACACCTTCAATTAATGAATAACTTGTCAAATTCATGTCAGTTTCATTTAATTCAGAATCAACCATCCGCTGAAAGAGCTTAAGCTGAAATTGAAACAGAACCACATGTTTAAAATAAAAATTCTAAACAAATATACCACTTCTAAGAGGAATTGACTTTGCTTATATCAGAATAGCAATGTGTGGTATTGTTGTCTTCTGGCAGTGTGTTTAATTATGAGACTGTTTTGCTCTTACTGTCATTAAGAACTGTAACTTGAATTCAGTTCAACATGTCAAAGTCAATCAAAAACAAAAATATTCATTTTATAACTTGCAATAAATCTGCACTTAAGCCAACTTCCCCATCTCCTTCATTTTGGTCTGTTTGTAACATTAACATTCTGAGCCCAAAAAGATCGTGCAAGAGTATATGGTTAGGTCAGTTTTGCCTTCTCGTTTTAAGGATCCAGGATGGGAAATGACTGTTTTATATTTCTTCACAAACTTATTCAGGCATATTTTGAGAGTTAAGAAGCTGGAAACTCTTGAACCAACTATTGTAGAACATTTGCACAGGAATAAATACACTGCATCACTGAGTGATGCAATGGGACTTGTCACTTTTAATATGTCTTGATTAGTCACCTATTTTTGACTAGATTGTTTGGAAATTGACAAACACAGACAGGATAAACTTGGCTATTGGTGTCAATAAAGAATATCTGTCCACTTAATACACCTTTTTATGATAAGATTTTCAATAATTTTCATCTGCAACTAAAGAAGAAAACTCAATGACCTCAGCCTAGCTTTTCTCTATCTCCACCCCTGCCAATTGTTGTCAAAGCAAATGAAGGTAGTTTACAATTGCTGAGTTTAGTGTTGGCATTTAGTATAGCCTTTAGCTTGGTTACAATGGGAGATATCCAGAGGGGATCAAGTGCTTCCTTGCAAGAATGGAATTAAAATCATGGAACAATCTGTTTTCCAGCAGCAGATGTTTGCTATTCAAAAGATTGGGAATAGTTCTTTTGTTCCTTTGATCTCAAAATATGCATAGAATGGGAAGATGAACAAGAAAATATCTTATCTTGATAGTCTCAATGAAGAAAGTAACTCAATTTGATTAATTAGAGTGCTATTCTTTTGACAATAGTTTTGGACCAATGCCTTAGATTTGATCATGGACCATGTCACATCTGCCAACATGTGCATTGTTTGGTAATCTCTATATTATACAAACAGAACGCTAGAGAGATTTGGACTTTCTCTAATTCTTCACTTTGATTTGATAAGTGAACTGCAATCAAGAACACATAAATGGCAGAAAAATGGAATCATGACACCATGACATTGTATATCCAAAACCACAATGCAGCCCCTAAGACTTTTCTATAATCACATTTTGCAACCAGGCCAGGAAGAAAAACCTTGTGCTGAAATTTGACAGACACAAACAGCAATGGAACCAGCCTGGCCCCAAAAGCTAGTTCCAGAAATAATGATTTTGAGGTAACTGAGTCACAGTATCCAACTAGATTGTTTAATCCACTCATCTTTTCCAGAAATGTGTTCTAAAATATTTAGCATCTGGTTGGAGTGAAGGCAGAGCAAAGACATAAAGATAGCAGAGAAAGAATGTTTCATTAATTGGTAGCAGGCTCACCTGAGAATCAGAATGCTGGGGATGTTGAAGTGTCACTCTGAGACTTGAGCTCAAAAAACTCGGTTGACACTGCAGAATTGGAGGTGTCCTTTTTTCAGATGAAACTTTGAACCAAAATTCACTCCTCTCTCTAATATAAAAGATCCCATGCCGCTATTTTAAAGAGCAATACGGTAATCCCTGATATTCCTGGTCAGTATACATAGCTTAACTAACATCACTAGACAATAGATTACATGGTCATTATCACATTGCTCTTACTGAGAATTGGATCTGTGCAATTTGACTTTGACTTTACCTAGACTACATGATGACTAGACTTCAAATGTATTTAATTGGCATTAAAACACTTTGGGGCATTCTGAAATGTGTGAAATCCATGATATAAACACAAATTACAAGGGTTTTATTGTGTCGTGGTAATGTCCCTTCCTTTGAGCCAGAAGGTCTGGGTTCAACTCCTACTTGTCCCGGAAGTGTGTCATAATATCTCTGAATAGGTTGAATAAAATGGCTACAAACTCATCTGCATGAGAGCTGTATAATCTGAGTGTGATGTGTAACTGGAAAAGCATTAAACCTGAGTTTTATAATGAGTACATGGTAAAGTGTCTTAAATTCATCCTTAAAATAAGGATGATAGTGAGAAATATTGTAACAGACTTTCTCTTGTGTGGGTAGACAAATAGTTTTCATTTGTATAATAATTTATTTTAAGATTCAGATGCAATTGTTCTATTCTCTGTAACAAAAATTGTAATATTCTAGTGTGTTACATCACCTATTTTTGTTTTATTTGTTACTGTTTGTGTAATACGTCATTATTATTCTCTGTCCAAGACATGATACATATTGACTTGGGCCTCTGCATGGAACATGTATATCATTGTCCTATCTTGCGTTTCGTAGCTACAATCCAAGAATATGTTCTGACGTGTGTTATCCTTTGCGTAACTGCTTATCCAGTCATAATCCTGTATGATCTGTAATGGGCTCACAAGTTGCCCGGTGACAACTTTCTTAAATTCTATTAGGAATTTTCTCATTAAAAGCTGCTTTGAACAACGCTGTGCTAGAAAAAAACACTCTAATGAGGTTGTCACATGAGTTAACACCACCGCCCCTCCCTACCCGAAAATGTATTTTATTGTTAGCATAATAATTGTGAAATTAAAAATAGCTCAATATTAATGTCCAACCTCGGGTGCTCATTAAGGCCATCTTGTGCAATACTAGAGTCATAGAATGGTCAAAATACAGAAAGAGACCGTGAGGTCTGTCTGTCTGTCTGCGCTGGCCCGCTATAGGAGCAGTTCGTAAACAACTGTATCATGCCTTAAGTCACCCCTGTAGGACAGGATTACTAAGAAGAATATATTAGAACGGGAAGGAAAACATTTATTAGGCTCAACCAAGGAGCTACTTCCATCTTGTTTCAATGCAGCGTACAGAATGATGACAGATAAAGTGCTAATTTGGGTCAGGGTTTCAATTATTCGGTTTTGGAGCTTTGTCTGAACTTGACAACCTACCATAGATTGACACTAGTGTAGTACTGGAATAGTGCTATACTGTCAAAAATATTGTCTCTGGAATGAGACTTTAAACTGAGTTCTATCTGTATAAGTTATTGTAAACGATCCCATAACACTCATTGAAGAACAACGGGAAGTTCACTCGATTTCCTGGTCAGCGTATGTCCCTCAATCAGTATGACTAAAAAGTTGCCTAAATTCTACGTTTTCTACATCAGCACAACGACAGTACTGAACAGCAATTTAGAACAGTTTTGGAAGCTCGATTCATTTGGGAGCTTGTCTCACGCTTGCGAAGCAGTTGTCAGTTGCAGTAATAATCTCTTGTTTTGTCACCTAGAACATTTTGTTTTAACCATGCTTTTATGTTCGATTTCACCATATTCTCCCCCGACCACAGTACTCTGTCCTGGAGCACGTTCGTGTGGGGCACCTGTGTTAAACTTTACTGTCTTGGCTCTTTCTTATGGATCAGCAGAGACTTCCATCATTTTAGCTGGGAGGGCTTGGGGGCTGTGGGAGCGGATATGTGTGCATCACAGTTGAGTTAGATACCTTGCCCACCTTCTGTACAATAATACATCGTTCGCGCCAGACGTCACAATGAACGTGTACTGTAGCAGGGAACCTGATCGATTTTCCTGCATCATTCAAAGACCTTTAGGGAGGTTTTAGTGGTACTTGCTGGTAGACGGAGATAACTGAAAACTGGCTGAGAATGGAGCCCAGATTTTATTTTTGATCCATTGTATGCTGAAGATTACCATTTTATCCACCAGGGCACTCACTACCTTTCCCACCCCTCCCCCAGTCATCCTCCGCAGTAAATGAATAAGAACCAAAATTCCACAGCACTGCGAGATTTTAAATTGTCAGGAGTTGTAGCTATCTATAAAGAAATCAGCTGTTTTCAAAGTCCTGGGAATAAAAACGGGGAACAATGAGCCTTCTGCAGTATCCCTAGCCACGTAGTCACGGGTCAATTATATTAACGACAAGAGGCGGTAGTTACAGTCACTAACAAGTGTTTTATTGTAGCTTTTCAATCATTTTACAGGAGTGACGATCAAGGAAATAGCCCCTCTCAGCATGGTCTAGTGCGCCAGAAAATCATGCAGCTCGCTGTCTCTCTCTCTCTCCCTCTTTGTGGCAGTGAGGTAAAGTGGGAGGAGTTGCTTTCCTGCAATTGTATCGCTTCAGAAGTTAGATATTCGGATTCTAGCTCTCAGTGTGTTGCTGTCAGGACTCGGCGCGGCTGCTTCGCTGCTCTCACCTCCTTTTCCCCATTCTTCTGCTTTGGCGGTGTTTAACGTGGTTCTACTTCTCCAAGATGACAGGATTGTCAGCCGTATACCAGAGTCAGCTGGTAAGTATCCCCTCCCACCAGGGTCTTCTTGGGTACCGGATTTAATTCCCGTTTACGCATCAGTCTCTTTATTTTAGAGTGGCTGAGAAACCGAGAGAAGGAGACTTGCGACTGAACCGAGGTAGCCTGAGCTCAGCTTTTTTTTTTGTTTTTTTTTAATATAAAAAGACTACCTTCCCTTTGTAGCCAAGAACCTGTCATGCTCTCAGTTCGATCTTGGTCCCTGGATAAATTTGCATATTGCAATTTACATGCCTCTTCATTCAGAAGTGTTTTCAGTTTGTATATATATAGTTGTGGTTTGACAGATTACTTAAATAACACAGTTCCTACGTGTGTAAGTGCAGTAGTGTTGAATGAAAATAGAGCAAGAGACTCCGGTTTGGATAAAAATGCATATCTTAGTTTTAGAATAATTTTACACATCATTTTGCTACAGAAAGAACGTGGTAATCTGTGATAAATCAAGTGATCAAGTCCGTGTCCTGATTAGAAACGAAGATGTAGCACCTTAAGTTAGGCGTGTTGTTTTTATTGTTGTTTGTTCCTCGTGTTATAATTAAGCTACACACAATAGAACTCAAGGGAACTGTATGACTTCAACTATTTAATCGGATTTATTTTGCTTGGTTAACTGAATCACTTCTGTGTTAGATATCTGTTTTTTTGTTTTGAAGATTCAGATTCTTAAAATGCGTCTGTTTGCCTGTTTCACGATCTCCGGGTCGTATGATTGCTTGTAAAATGACCGATCTGAAAATGTGTCTGAGGGCGGTGGGTTGTGTGGAGAGTGTCTAGATATGAAGATTCATTGTAAGAAAGTTCGTGTTATAAAATCGTTCTTCTAGAAGCAAAAGTTTGTAAATTTGAATCACTTGCAAAGCAAATCAGAAGATCCAGTCTTTTGCACCTTTTCGAGCCTGAGCACATAAGAAAGCTGACGGCAGCTTCTAGTCAGAATTCGGTAAAATAATTTACTGCAGAATGTGATGTCTACAACGTGTTTACAGTTTATTGTATAAAGGTGCATTTTTTTTTCGACAAACGTGGACAAGCGTTTTTATAATGCTACCACTTCTTGCCTGCGCCAACAAGCGCTCTGCTCAGAAACAGTAATAGTTACTTGTCCGCCCCTATTAAGTTCTGTGGGGTTAGTTCTCGCCACAATGCTGACATTACCCCCTTAAAGTGGCTGGCAATGGGGCCCCTTTAAACAGTCCTCGGTATGCACGGCCCATGTATTCCAAGAAAGCAGTGTGGAGCTGGATGAACACAGCAGGCCAGGCAGCATCAGAGGAGCAGGAAAGCTGACGTTTCGGGTCTGGACCCTCCGTTCCTACTATCCATGTATTCCAATACGCGGTACTCCTCTGAGGAGCGTTCATGTGTGTGTAATCTTAACTTCTGAGTGATTTTGCACGTTACCTGCGGGTAGTGGGGAGGCCGTGTATGCACACGCAGCTTATTTAGAGCAGCGATGGCCCAGTATCAAACGTTTTTTGTTCACCTCTCTATGAAGCACTATAGAACGTTTTACTTACAAGGGCGCTAGATAAATGCAAGTTGGTGTATTATTCTTTCCACGTGATTTGTGTGGAATATTACTGAAATGTTGAGCTAAATTGGCCCTTCTCCCCATTTCAAAGCTTAAAGCCAGTCATAAATTTTTCATTGAAGACGAAGCGAGTTCCCACCATTTCTGACCAGAAAAAGCGTCAAATTAAATCAAGAACGTGTATCGCCAGGCACTGGGGTGGTCATGTTACAACAAGAGTGAAGCTCGACCAGTTTCTGGAGTTAGACATTATCTGCAAGTAAGTTTCCATGTCTTAATTTTGATTTTATTCTCTTCTGACGTTGTCAGTCGATTTGATAATTTCACTGGACAGTCCTCAGAACCTTGTCAGAGTGCTAGTGGTTTACATACAAGCCTAAACCAGGAGTGATGACAAGCTGTTCTACAATGGAAGCATCATTGTCTAGCTTGGCCAGTCCTCCCTGACAGCAGGAGATGGCAAGATCCTTGTGCACTGATTTCCCTCTTTCTTTTCGAGCCCCACTCCCACTGATGAGCATGCGCGTGCGCGCACACGAAAACACAGACACACTCTTTATCTTCTTCCACTGCAATTAAGTCAGGATAAATTCAGGCTATGCAGATGACAGGGGTAGATGTTGGGGAGATAGATTTATGTTGTGTGGCAATCCCATTACAGATTCAACTGTGCCAGTTAAGGAGACTATTTTAGAAGTGTTGTATAAAGTCGCTGCAGAATCTTCTACAGTTCAAATGTGTGGCCAATAGGTTGTAATGTTAACAGCACTGAAAGAATTTCCCCAGTTAATCATTTCTGTAGGGCTCTGCAGTAATACAAATGAGGCCCAGAAGCTCCTAGGCTCAATGCTGTGTTCGTTGGTATCATCCAAAGCAGCAGTCATAATACAATTGAAATCCGGATAGTGGGAACGAAAGAAGAGGTAAGTTTTCTGTTTAAGAGTTCCAACATTTACCATTGAAGTCTGTGGATCTATGCCAGTAACAGCTATCTAGTTTAGTTGGACCAAAACTATTGAGATTAAAAATTGTTTAATGCTCAAGGATAATAATTGGCCTTGAACGTAATGAGATTATAGTGTCAAACAGTTGTGAATAATTACCAAATTATGTGATTGTGGAATTGTGTAGGCAGCACTTTTAAATTTGCTATTGCATTCCTGTGGCATCACAGATAGCACAAACAGGGGATGAGTTAATGTTATTTGACTGGTGTCTAACAGGTGAGGTTTGGTTGTGTGCAGATATTATCTATGCTACTGAAAACTTCTTTTAAATCTGTGCCTGGGGGTGTTCACAGAAAATGAGACTGGTCTAACTATTTTGGTAGAATATGGTTGTCGTGAGTGAAATTGTAGGAAAAAATGATGAATAATTGCATAACAAACAAAGAGCCAGATGAAACAGCAAAACAAATACCCAATCAAAATGGGGAATATTGGAACCTGCTCAATTGATATGTTGAAGATAAAGTAACACTTCATTTGTATATAAAGCTTTACTTTGCGCAGTTTCCTTTTTACACATAAGATCAGAACATTCATTTTGATAATGCCAAGCCTGTAGGCATGAAGAGATCTTAAAACCTCTTTATTTTCTGTTTTAAAATGATAGTTACTTTTTTTCTTTTTAAATGAACCCTTCTTAAGTTTCTGAGAGTTCTGAGGAAGGGTCATTCAATCTGAAATGTTAACTGTTCTCTCTCCACCACAGATTCTGCCAGACCTGCTGAGCTTATTCAGCAATTTCTGTTTTTGTCCTAGTTAAATTTAAAATGGTTGCTATTAAATGCTAAATGGACCCATTGGCTACTTATAGAAATTTCCTGCAATTGGCAGGGCAAAAGTTAATAAATCACTTATGGATATTTAGTGTCCATTTGCATGCATAAAGCAAGAAAACTCTCACAGACATTGTCTACCCTAGCCAGTACTGAATAATGGATGCCATTGAAACTTACTATGGCTGAAGTGGTGCTAACAGCCCAACGGTTAGTTTCTACTGGAAACAATGGTTTTTGACAAAACCACCTCATTACAGCCCATCCAGAAACTGAGTCACATGAATGAAACATCTTTTTAATTGAATCAATCCAAAGTCTTTTCTCAGACTGCTTTTCAAAATTGGAATTGACAACAAGCAGCTCTGCCCTGACTGAAGCCTGCTTGTATTCTCAGACTCTTGGAATCTAAGAAATTTCCTGTTGTTGTGAAAAATGAACTAATTCATAGTCTATAGTAATTGCCACTGCTTCCAAGCCCTCAAGAAAACCTTCATTAGACTCTGATTCACATGAACTAATGCTGCGATAAAGGTTTGTAATATCATTTTGGAATTTAGATTTTATGGTCAAGGTGTATGGGAGTTTTGTTTTAGCCGTGTGAAAGTGTCATTTTGAAGTTGAAAGTTATTTTTGATCAGTGAGTTCAAATATAATTTCAAAGAAAAATATGACTTGACAGATAAGGTTAAGGAGAATCCAAAGAGATTCTACAAGTACATCAACAGCAATTAGAGAGGGAATAAGGCCCCCTTTAAAGATCAACGAGATCATCTATCTGTAGAGCTACAGAAGATGCGAGAGACAGTAAATCAATATTTCACATCAGTTTTTTTTTTAAACTGTGGAGAAAGACATGGAGACTAGAACTTGGGGAAATAAAGACTGATGTCTTGAAAAGAGTCCACATAACAGAACAGGAGCTGCTGGAGGTCTTAAAAAGAAACAAAGGTGAATAAATCTCTGGGACATGATCAAGCATATGCCAGGACATTGTGAGATGTTAGTGAAGAAATTGCAGGGCTCCTAGCAGGGGTATTTGTATCATCTATGGCCATGGGTGAGGTGGTGGAGGACTGGAGGGTGGCTAAAGTATTTAAGAAAGACTGTAAAGAGAAGCCTGGGAATTACAGCCTGGTGAGTCTGACATCAGTGGTGGGTGAGTTGTCAGAGGGGCTTCTGAGGGATAGGAATTACATGCATTTGGAGAGGCGAGGACTGCTTAAGGATAATCAACATGGCTTTGTGCTTGGGAAATCATGCCTCACAAACTTGACTGAGTTTTTGAGGATGTGACCAAAAAAATTAAGGGAAGAGTGGTGGATGTTGTCTACATGTACTTAACTAAACCTTTTGACAAGATTCTGCATAGTGGACTAATTAGTGAGGTTGGATCACATGGATTAAGGGAGAGCTTGTCAAATGGATCATAATTGGCTTGATGGTAGGAGACAGAGGGTGGTGGAGGAGGGTTGTTTTTTAGACCAGAGATGTTCTGCAGGAATCAGGGCTGGCTCCACTGTTAGTTGTCATTTTTAAATAAATGATTTGGATGAGAATTTAGGAGGAATGGTTAGTAAGTTTGCAGATGACACTAAAATTAGTACAGTCAACAGTGAAGAAGGTTACCTAAGATTACAAAGGGATCTTGATCAATTGGGCCAATGGCCTGAGGAGTGGCAAATGGAGTTTATTTTCGATAAATGGGAGGTATTATATTTTGGTAAAACAAGGGAAAGACTTATACAATTAATGGTACAGCCCTGAGGAGTGTTGTTGAACAGAGACCTAGGCATTCAAATACATAGTTGTTTGAAATTTGCATTACAGTAGACATGGTGGTTAAGAAGGCATTTGGCACGCTTGCCTTCATTGCTCCAACCATTGAGTATAGGAATTGGGACGTCATGTTGAGGTTGTATAGGAACACAGCAGGTCAGGCAGCAGCAGAGGAGCAGGAGAGTTGTTCAAGTTTAAATGTTTCATTAGGATTGAAGGATATAAGCCCAAAATGTCAACTTTCCTGCTCGTCTGATGCTGCCTGACTTGCATGTTCCTCCAGCTCCACACTGTATTCAGTGTGGACTCTGACTCCAGCATCTGCAAATCTTGCTATCTCCAAGGTTGTATAGGACATTGGTGCAGCCAAATTTGGACTACTGTGTACAGTTCTGGTCTCCCTGCTCTAGGAAATGTGTTATTAAATTGGACAGCATTCAAAAACGATTTACCAGGTTGTTGCCAGGAATTTCTTTTTCCTCCACTTTTGACTCCCAGTTTGCCAAATTACAGCAATATACTACAAACCTACATTACAGATGTGACAGTATTAATGGAATATTGCTCAAATAAAGGCAAAGATGATCATGATCTTTGAACTCCCTCCCTAATGGCATTGTGTGTACCTACACCAAATGGACTGCAGTGGTTCAAGAGGCAGCATGCTGGAATTCTGAAGAAGCCTTACTAGTCTCAAAACATTAACTCTTTCTCTTGCCACAGGTCGCCAAACATGTTGAGTTTGTCCAGCATTTTGCTCTTATTAATGGAGTATTAGCTTATTTTGAACCATTATTGTTAAAGTACACCAAATGATCACGTTAATCCAGTGCTTGTCATTCTTTGGCCTTTTAGGGCATGTGGAGCTGAGGGTAATGATAAATATGTCAAGTTGCTTTTGCTTTGGACTGTACATCTGTGTGCTACTGTCTGTGCTTTAAGATATACAATGTTGGAAATTTTGCTTTACACAGTAATGGGGTAAAATTGGCCAAATTTTAAAGTGTATTTTAAGGGAAAAGTTAAGTCAATAAGAATTCACTAACTACAGATTCTGTTTCTTCAGTGAAGCAGCTGAAAGATGTGAGTCACACGTTCAAACCCTAGTTTCCTGGAAAACACGGGAGAAATCCTATGACCTTTGGTAGTGGCTCTGTCTGCTGTAATGCTGTGCTGTCACTATTTTGTTTTTTAGCAAGACTAGATTCAAAGCTCATATGGTGCAAGGGATGGAGAGCAGTAACTTGTATGTTTTCTGCCCAAATTTAAGCTTCAATCTTTCAGTTAAAAGGTTGTACATTATAGAGTTCTACACATGTACAGCACAGAAACAGTTCAACTCATCCATGCCGACTTGATATTCTACATTAATCTAGTCCCATTTGCCAGCATTTTCCACCATATCCCTCTAAACCGTTTCTATTCATATACCCATCCAGATGCCTTCTAAATGTTCTCATTGTACCAACCTCCACCACTTCCTCTGGCAGCTCATTCCACACATGTACAACCTTTGTGAAAACGTTGCCCCTTAGCTATCCTTTAAATCTCTCCCTTCTTACCTTAAACCTATGCCCTCTAGTTTTGGACTCCCCCACCCTGGGGAATACCTTGTCTGGTCATCGTGCCCATGCCCCTCTTGATTTTATAAACCCCTGCAAGGTCACCCTTCAGCCTCTGATGCACCAGGGAAAATAGCC